ATATATATATATATACACATACACACATATATACACTTTTATTATACGTACATAACAATAAAAGTATATGAAGTCCGTATAATAATTTATCATAGAATTTATAAGTAACAAAAAGAATTTTTATTTATAATTCAGTATTCATTACGACGCTTATAAAACTACATTTATCCTAAATTTTCTTAACCTCGTAACAATTTTTGCAACCACAGAGAGAAAGAAAGAGAGCAAGCAAAGGCGAAGTTCTCTCGGTCGTCTAATAAATCACAGAGGGGCCCTAGATCGCGGGCCTAGGCAATAAAACGTCCCTGCATCTCTCGATATCCTTCTCTTCACTTTCCTCTGCCTCTCTCTTTCTCTCCTTCTTCATCTCTTTCCATTCTCACGAACGAAACGCTCCCTCTCTTTCTCTCCCATCCGTCTGTCCGTCCGTCCGTCCGACTCGCCGCGATTAGGTCGTGGGCGGAAATCAGTCTGTATAACTAGTCGCGTCGCAATCGCGCGATGGTACGCACGTTTTCTTACGTGTTGCATACGTTCGGTGTATCGTGGTGAGAAACTCCGATGCTCCGTTTTTAGCGATATCATCTCGCCTTGTCGTCGTTATTCATCGAGGAGTGACAGCGTGACGGCGTCGCGACGCTCACGCGTTTCCATCATTTCCTTTATTTCGATTTCTTTCCTTCTCTCCTCTCCCTCGTTGCTTCCGATCGAAAAATTGGATGGTTCGCCAACAAACGTCGATTATTGACACACACAGTGCCTGAGACCATTCCCGGTGGTCCACGCGATACAGTGACGATACGCGAAATATTGTCACTTCTTGGGGCTGCAACGACGCGTCCTTCCCCTTCTTATTCTTCTCCACTTTCTCTTCCTCTTCGTCGGCTACGTCGCCTCGGATTACATCATGACAAACACGACACCACCGAAGGCAGCGTGAGTATGTAACCGTGCTAGCTAACACGCAACGATGTTGATCTAATTCGATCGGTGCGACAAATCGCGAGTACTCTCGCGTCGACGATACGTCTCTCGCGAGGGAAAATGTGTCGCATATATGTATCTGACATTTCATACGTATAAAATCTAAAATTTTATCTTCCAACCCCTGTGGTAAAAAAAAAATTGGAGTACTCGATATGAGCTCGCGTTGAACTGAAGAAACGATAAAATTTTTCGTCATGAGCTTTTTTTTATTTTTGTTGTAAATTCTTTGAAGATTTCAGTATTAATATACAATATTTTTAGTATTCTTAAATAGATTATACTGTTTATGCAAAATTCTAACTTATTAAGTACTGTTTATAGGATTTAATTAACAAAATATATATAAGTCTTACATTTCCCTTTTTATTAATTTGGATATTTGATTTTCTGTTACATTTTAAATGTGTCATATAAGTCATATTTTACATTAAATAATAAATAGTTGTTAAATAATATAAAGTTATATAAATTCATAAATATAAATGACATAATATTTTATTACAAGTCTAGTATAATTGTATAAGATTGCATAAAAATTTATTAAACTGACTGATCGCGTAACGATTGTAAATAAAACGCGTGATTCGCGATACTGCACGCGTCCCCGAACGATATCCGCAAGTCACATCCAAGCCCACGCGCGCGGGACATCAACGCGTGGCGGTTGAAAACAGGTGCGACGACACGCTCGCGAAATGATACATCGCGTGCTAAACTCGCTATCTGCGCTCAACGTAAACAAAACGATCAATTTCTGATACAAAACGATAACCACTGGTGGATTCAAGAGGAGCTGTAACCCCCTTCGAGTCTCTTTTTTTTTTTTTAAATATTTACAAGAAAATGTTATATATATTTTTAATATTTCTGAAGTGTTTAATCACAATTTTAATATTCCAAAAATATTTTTTAACTTAAGAAATTTTTATAGATATAAAACAGATTCTATTATATTATTCTTCTTTTTATATTCTAATATGATTTTAAATTTTAATTAAAACGTTTTATGAATTATACATTTAAGTAATACTTTTTCGATGTAATCATTTAAATAATAATTTAATATTCTGTCTTTTCATATTTGACATTAAAGAAATTTTGCTTGCGGCGAGTCAATGGCCCCTCCCTTGACAAATTTCTAGATCCGCTTCACATTTCCAATCGATTTCGACGCCGGTATATAAAACACGTGGCCGGGATCCTCGCGCTAAAGTGGATCTATTTTTTCGATGTTTATTGAAGATCTCGCTTGAAAATAAACTGCGAGCTGGACCGGCCGATACTCATCGCATCGTAAGGCCGGAGGCAAAGATTGCCACTTCGTCCTTGCCATTCGCCATCTTGCATGATTGTACTTCGTTCTAAACTTGTACCGCGGATATTCCAACAACTTATTTTCATTATACCTCGGAGAATAGCTTGGGGCTAACAATTCGATCTCAGTATAAAATTTTTCGGTTAAACTGAATTTAATTAGATCTCTTCATTTTTTCTCTCTTTTCTAAAATTTTGATTGACTTATTAAAAATGTTTGATATTTCTTTGTCATCATATTTAATAAATATTATATTTGTTTACATAATTATATTATAATTATAACTATTGGATTGGCAAGGAAATAATTGCATTTTTTTAGCTCAAAGTTGTGTATATACAATATCTTCGTTAATAATCGTAAATAATGAATGAAATTTAAATTAAAAAAAAAAGAGATTTTAAAGCTTGAAATCTCTATTTTTAAAAGCTTACCATATTTTTTAAGTTTATATGAGTTCAATAATTTTTACCAAAAACTACGAGCTGAAAAAGCTGGAAAATTTTCTTCTCACTTTGTGGGTTTGTAACGTGCCCAAAATAAATTTGAGAAAATTTTCGATTATCTATCGTGAAAGCTTGATACTTTCCCTACAAAATCGTTTTTTTTTTAATATTCCTACGATTTTTGATTACTGAGTTGTCGCGAATTAAATAAAAGGACCATTTTGACTTCAATTGCTCATAACTCCGTTAAAAATTGTCGTATCGCAATTTAAAAAAGAGATTCTTAACTGAAATTTTGTTCTATCAAAATATATTTATATTAGTTGGTAAGAAAATAATTGCGGTTTTTACTGATAGATGCCTTTCAAAAAAACGCAATTACTTTCTTGCCAACCCAATATATATATGCATGAATTTTAATTTTTTTTATTGTATAAATTATATTATATTAAATTTACAACTTAAATTATATATTATATATATTATATTTTTAGTATATTTACATCTCAATTTCTGTTAAAATTTTTACTGTGATCATCATTTTTAACTGTCTTTTTTTTGAAGATAAGCAAATTATTACTGATTGAAAAATTTTTCATACATAAAAAGAAACAGCATGAAAAAAATTATATAATGCATATTTCTCTTTTAAAAAGTTTTTTAAAAAATTGATTGTGATTAATGTGGTGCAAAGTCCTTGTTTTTCATCACGTGATCGTTATGACAAGCGGTTCAAACGATCCCTTGTCGCATTACTTAAACGCACATTTATACATTCTCACGTCGGCACGGTCGTGTAACGGCCTTTTGTCGCCGTCGGCGCGGACATGTCCGCGAAGTATTTAGGTTTCCCGCGTTGTGCGAGCCACGTCCTCGTCACAGCAGTCACGTCAATGAGTTCCTCGAAAACACCGTCGAATCGTGCCTCTTCACCACCAAAGATCGTAGATAAATCCGTATACGTCCCGTTCCGATCGGATACTCGCCCACTGACAACAGTAGAAATTAAAAACATCACTGGGAACGTTAATGATTGATCGATGGATCTCAACAGTAGTTTCCTCGATGGCATTAAATGAACAATAATGAGAATTATTTATCAATTTTTTTCGGAAAAAACTCTATGTTTTCTCGATATTTATCGATTTAAAATATTTTTTTAGGAATCTCTTAAATGATTCATCATAGCATTTATTTATTTATAAGAAGACCATCTATAAATCATAGACAACAGATTTCGAAAGATTTTTCGCAGTAGATTATTCGCAGTATTAAGATTGTCATTAATATCAGATTATTAATATTCTTATAAAAATACTTATTATCAAAAATTGTTAAATTGCTTATTAATTTAATAAGTGATATTGTTTTGGTTTTACTCATGATTACGTTTTCAAGTCCGAAAAAGATTTCGGCGCGCGGTTTACGGAATTAGATATGTACATAAATTCACACACAAATGTTTAAGCACTAATATACGCTTTGACCGAGTATAGGATTTCTCTTGTTTAATTAGATTAATATTCTCATCCAAATTTGTATCATAATTGTCTATAAATTAAAATGTTCAGCAAAACATCCGTCCGTTCAGTGCAAACAAAGCAACTCAGTGAATGCTTAATGACTTTTTATAATGACTTTTTATAATTGGTTCTTGCTTTTACTTCTTCAATGGATTTAAATGTTAGAAACCAATCATATAATAAAGAATTATTGTTGTAACACAGTCAATATAAATTTTGCATGATAAAAGTATTTTTTTTTAATATTCAGATTGTCAATAACGTTTAAATTACAGACAATTCGAAAGGAAGATATATCAGAGCTAACTTTACATTTAAAATTTAGAAGTACCAGCGGATACAGAACTTGTAATAAATTTACGTTGGCGGAAACATTATCATGTAAATGTTTTGAAGAACGCATATTGTTATTATTATCACACTTTATTCCAATAGACTTCTTGGGAATGTCTTTAAAACGTAGAGACATCTTCTAAACATCTTTAAGACTTCTCTTGAAGATCTTGCTGCATGGTATAAAATATAATCCAATTTCTTCATCCAGCCGCGTAAATTCCTCGGAATCAAGTATTCCGAGAATTCATCCGTGAATGAAGGTACATTAAAGTTTTCTTCGAAGGTACATCAAGAATTTTTTTTCAAACTTCCTTTCGTTCGAACAGGTGGGAGTATTATTTACGAGAACATGGGAAAAGTAGTGAAGACGTTTCAAATTGCACGTGGTGTAAACGATTTTCTAGGCACGTGTACCATATTGTCTTCCGAGAAGAATTTCGCCTATCGTATTCACTGTTACTAAAAGTTAAAATCAATATTTGCAAGTTCCTGTTTAATTGAAAACATATTTGATACGTTTATAAGAAAACATTTTTAGCTTTGTATACTTAAGTAACTTTTAAATTAAATGTACATTTTAAATTAAATGTACATTAAATGTTAATTTTGGTTATTCAATCAATTGTATTCAATTAAAGATTATTATTCAAGATTATTAAGTAGAAATATTTAATTTAATTTTTAATTCAAAAAATAGAACAAGTTACAGATGTTCGTTACTGCAAATTTGCTTCGATTAAAAATTAATGTATTCTACCACGATATGGATTACTATCTTTCTGCGTTTTTTCTCTCCTTTTTTATTAATGGACTCTCAACACATTTACTGATATAACTGACAAGATACATCATTATATTATATATATTTATATGTGTCAAGTATTAATTTTCTTTTGTTCACAGTCACTTTCTAGAGTATTATTTTCTTATTATTTTGATTTCTGATATTATTGCGCTCGCAGCGCACAAAATGAAAAATATATATTTTAGAAGTATAATGAGTTTTGCAATATTATATATATTTGTTTTATAGCGGATGTTTGAATAAGTTTACCGCAACATTGAGAATGACTCGAGCGAAGTCGAAACGTGTTTTTGTCCTTTGTAATTATTATATGAATTTTATGATTTAAATTAAACTTCTTTGTTACAATTATTGGCTCTTTATTCTTCTTTTGCCTATATTGTTTTATACTTACAGAGCCTCATTATTATTTATTAAATTGCAGAAAGTTGGAAAACGTAATTTTTATCCATCTGTTTTTTCAACATTTAATATTTTTTATATATGTATATTGTGTGCTGCTGTGATGAACGGCCATTGTTCCACGATGAAATGTAATTCGAGTCGTCACTTTAAAACTGTTTGCACGCATTCCGGGGAGGGAAAGAACCGTCTTATTAGCGTCATTAAGCGAACACGTGCGGCCGTATCAAGCGCCGGCATTCTTTCTCTTCGGCAGACGTTGCTCATAAAACACTGTCGCGGATTCCCCTCTTCCTGCAGATAAATTTATATACTGCATACTTACGTTGTAGCTCCATTTATTCTGCGATTATGAATTATCGGTTGAAAATGTATGCGAGCGTATAACGATGAAGAATATTTTGGAAAAATAAGCTCAATTGTATTCTATCGGATAAACGTGACGTTTTTCAATGAAATAATCGATTAAGTTGTCAATATGCTTATATTAAATTAATTGATTAATGTTGTAATTGATTAATGTAACTATTTTTTAATATCTCTATGTTGCGTTTATTAAACAAATTTCAATTATTTTGAATTAATAATAATCGGTAATTATTGGAATTACAATCTTGACACAATTAAGAACAGTTTTTCTAAAAAATTAAAAATTTTGGACTATCAAAATTATTATGTAGATACTTATAATATATGATATTTATTATATCAATCAGTTTGAGAATCTTACATAATTATTTTGATGTGGTCTAACGGAATTTATTTTTATATCTATATCTAGACAAAATTTTAAATACTTTAGCAAAAACTTTCGATACTTTAGCACGTTCTTTCCGTATATAAATCACAGTCGAAAAGATTTTATTTCTACGACGTCGAACGCGATCGAGAAATCCGTTTCTCGTAAAAGAGCGTCACGTCTGAGCCTATAAGACGCAAGGTTGAAGAACGTATAAACCGGTTTAGGTCCTTATTCTTTGGAGTCGGGGCAGTTTTTTAGTTACTATTATTAGAGGCACACATGTGGCCGTGTTAAGCCATTTGTCGACGGCGACGGGACAGTGACGAGAGTATCATTTAATAAACGATCAATCAGAAACGTACGTACGTTGTAAATTGATATCATTCGATTTCCGTTATTTCTAAAATTCAGCGTCTATATTACTATATTGCGGATTCTATATTACTCAAAATCACAATTTCGTCGAACAAAAGTATTTTACGGAATCTCGCGATAAACTCGAAGTGTACATATAGTTTTACTATTTTCTATTAGAGATTCCTTTATTCGAACAAGGTTGCGAACAACAATCCGTCTCACCGAGCTAAGCCTCTCCCCCGCACACGGCACACGAGCGATGCTGTTGCCTCACCGTGACAACCGACTCGTGTCCGTAATCGTTTTCGAAGCGTGCAATTGGCATCCTAATCACGGAGAGATGAGCTCGGCGGCGGAAGATTGCATTTGCAACGAACGAGCGGCCGGAGTTCCACGAGAGCGAGCGGATCGCGGGGTGTCGCGTTGCATTCTGATCGCGCGATTGCGTGCACGTACGTGAAACTTATGTGCGTGCCCGCGAGAGAAATATGACATGCGGCGATTTGAAATGGACGGAGGAGCATCTTTATGTAGGCTTCTCGCGCGTATAAATGATAGATATATCACGTATCATTCTTCTAGGTCGATATTCATTTGATTTTATATTCAAGATCATGAGACTCCTGTTTACTCATCGCTATATCATCTCGGATTATTGCAGTGTTAGAAACAAAAAAATATATATGCAGTAAAAATTCTTGAAACTTATATTTGAAATAAATATTTTTCAGTAAAACGATAGTTGTAATCGGTAGAAATAAATATACCTAAGTAGTATAACTAAGTTTTTATTTTAGGACGAAATTAAATCGTACTTAGATATTTTATATATTAATTAATTTATCAGTGTGGTATAGCTGTAAATATAAATTATTTTGTTTTTGATTATGCATAGTTTATTTCCAGATATATAGTTTTTATTAATTAACGAAACAAAAGAAGAATTTTCGCTATATTTTACAAGTCGATTGTAAGTATTGTTTTATTTCATACATATTTCTATATTAATACGTTTTGAAGAATTTTTATTTTATATTTTCTCTACACTTTTAATGTGATAATCTGAATTTAATGTGATAATCTAGTATTAATGGACTAGCAGGAGTTTTGAGTCTGAAACTCTCATAATATTACTGTATGCAGTCATTTTATTACATGGAGTTTTAATTCTTGCATGTCACGAAAACAACATACACTGGATATTGTGTAAATATCGCATAAAATTTATGTTTATTTTATTTCTATAAAATCTGTAAAATAAATATATCTAACAACAAAAGATAAACAATAAAATATAAATTTCTTTGTACTTAACTTGAAACATACGGCAGATCTCAATCAAGTTTAATCGAGAGTTTAACGATGTTCAAATTTTTATAAAATTCTACGTCCTTTCATTCTTTTCCTGTTTCGTTCTTTTCGCCTTCAGCTCAGACAACGCTTGTCTTTCTGCGCGAGTCAAAAGAAATCTTTTCCATTGAAAAGGCTCGCTATCGGATCACCATTAGATAACGAAAAAGTTTGCGTACACTTTCAGCGGATGCATTTATAGCCACAAAAATAGCGCGCTTATTTCGGTCGATTGACGCACGCTGAATTTAGTGAGTACTCTGAATTCTTTTTTTTTTTTTAATACTTCACTTTTAATATTGAAAGCCGCGTGAATTTTTTTTTTCTATAGTAAGTGACACGAATGGTTTCAACAATTATAATTGTATATGTATATATATATATATATTTATAATTATTATATTTATAACAACAAGCATTTTTTATTTATTAATTATGTTACACTCGCATTTTAGAAATCTGGATCAAGTATCTCGACATTTAATTAATTAAGCAATTTATTCTCAAATTATATTATTTGACAAAAAAATGTACTGAAATATTTCAACAGTAAATCCTTTAGTGTGCTAGTAATTTTTATCAATCAATTCTTCAAAAGATATATAATAAACATAGAAACATTCATTATAATTGAATTCACAAAAAATAAAATATTTCGCATCGACAGTTGCGAAATACATTGAAATCGAATTTTCGCCACAACGGAGTATTAATATACTGGAACCGCGACTGTGACATTTTTGACTCATCTGATAATTTTTCTTGTCCAATTTATTTGGATTTGTACGTGGAGTTTTAGTGATTTTTTTATAAATAATCATAATTACAAGTAATTTTATTTTTATGATGACAACTTTTCTTGTAAAAAGAATTAGATTTATCTTGAATCGCGATTGGGTTAATTTAGATTCGCGATTCTGGTGTTAATTACGGGAATAGTCTTGTCGTACAGACAGAGCGTTGATGGATGTAGCTTGCGATGCGCACCATGTACTGTGGATCACACAAAATCTGCAGATTGTAAAGGTTTTCTGTGCACTCAGCACCCACATACGATTTACACACACAATAGCAACGGCATACACGCTCGCTCGTGCGCGGAAACGAAAGCGCGTAGACGGCTGGCCGCGAGCTATGACGTAGATGGATCGCGATTCAACGGCGGATGTAATTACATCGCGAACGAGCCGGAAGTGGAAACGGTCCGAGCGCTTTTGCGGCCTAAAGAGCGGCTTTATACGCTCGAATTACGCCGATCGACCGCGATCGACATCGCTGACTCTCCATTATTACATTCGCAACGTGACGGAGAGATGACAAGCTTGTTGTTGTCTGTCACATGCAAACGTGAGATCGATGGCTTTCTGCGGTTTGAAACTTTCAATCTTAGCGGAAAAGATCTCAAAAAGAGAAATAATAGCTTGACTATTTTAAAGCAATAAATTAAAAATAATTGATGACAAATTAATTAGTTTTTTTATAAATCAAAATACTGTTTTACTTTATTATTCTTCATTTCTTTGTCAAGAATAAATATTATTTGTTCATTATCATTTGTTCATTATAATATTTTATTTATTAAAGTATTGGTTATGTCTAGAATTTTTCTAGACTTTAATTTAAATTTTTCCGAATAAAAAAAAAATACGCGATACAAGAAATAGATTGAAATGGAATTACTTTTCTCATTTTGAGATTTATGCGATTTAGATAAATTCTTTAAATTAATTTTTCCCATGCTACATAGAAAGGACATTTTGAAATTAAAAATGCTGAAATTAAAAAATTTAGTTAGATACAGATGTGAAAATAATTTTATCAGAAATTATCAAAATAATTATGTACAAATGTTCAAACTGATTAAAATCAAAACTTTTTTGCAGCATTGCTCATCATGTTTGAAATTACTACGTAATTATTTTGATGTTCTAACAAATTATTTTCAGATCTGTATCTAGCTAAATTTTTATTAGACATTTTAATAAAATCGTTCTTTCTGTGTATTTAAAATAAATACTGCGTAAATCACACACATGTATCTTATCAAACAAAATCAAAACGAATAATTAATCTGATAATGGATTTAAGTCACAATTAAATATATAACTGACTTACGCTCGTTTGTTACTTTCGTACCAATGTAGCTTAACTTTAATCTCGATTTAACTTATCATTTATCTCTTAGAATTAGAAGAAGATAAAGAATAAATTGAACCGAGATTCAAATCTTACATTGATAGAATTGGGCTTTAATTTTTATCAAACAAAACAGAAATCCTCACGATTTCTACACGGAAATACAAATATCATAACATGTTGAGAAAGCAAGGGAGAGAGAGAGAGAGAGAGAGAGAGAGAGAGAGA